TAGCCAATAGAAGCGTGAGTGTTACTTTTTTACTAATTTAAAATGTCAATAATATATTTGAATGATATATATTTATCTCTTTCAAAATAGTTATAAATAACGAAAGAAATAGGAAAAACATCAAAATAACATCCGATTTCTACGTCAGTCCCATGAGCCCAGGCACAACATTCACACTCCAAAAAGAAGGTTTACATTTGTGATTTGTTATTTCTTTTATTCACTCAACTGTTCCTATTCCTTTTTGCAAGACGTTTTTTAAGAGAGTTGAATACATAAAGATGTATACACTGATGTAGTTACTTTTCCAAGAACCAAATGCAGTTCAAACTATTTGTGGGTGTATATTGTGTGTGTAGGATAACCCAGTGCAGTGATCACTCACAGCGGGTACACGGCCTCCTGGGTGCAGTGCAGGGTGTTGACGTAGTCGGGGCTGGGGTTGTACAGCATGGTGTACCAGTCGGACAGCATCTGGACCCTGCAGGAGTGGATGCGAACCTGCCCCACCGGCTCCGTCACCAGCAGAGTGACCACGGCCGACACGCTGCACTCCAACATGGCTGTGATGTGCTGCAGCAGCGCGCTGGAACTGGACCACACACAGTTATCTTGGTCGTCTGTTTCACTTCCTTATTGTATTCAAAATGAAATGGTGAAAATGCGTTTCCTGTAGTTTATATCAAATACTGAATTAGCCTTTATGAAACCAGGTTTGCTGAAAACCTGCCTGCTTGCCTGAAGGTGAATTCAATGACTGATACAGTAAGTTGCTGTGTGTGCTGCTGATCTGGCTTTACACTAAACTCCTCTAATTTGTCAAACAATGACAAACCATAGCAAAGATTTTGTTTTTTAAACTAATAATACAGACGCATCTCTTATGAAGGAACGGTACTTCTCCACAGTTTGGCTTTGAATCACTTTAATGCACAAATGATGTGCACACACAAAGATGTGAAGTCTGATTCTGAAGCTAAATGGAGTAAGCCAGAAGTCCTACTGGTTTAGTTAATTACCACAAACTGGTAGTCTTATTTAGTGTCTTGTGAGACCTTCAGTCAGGCACAGGTACAGGTCACACTGTAAATGTGCACTCACATATTCAACTAACTGCTAATTCACGTTCACCTTTTTTCCCCAAGAATAGAAGGGTGCTGTACCCATCAATGCATCGATCCTCAGGGAAAAACCTTGTGTAACGAGTCGCTGCATAGCTCACTTGGTACAGCTGTGCCGTTCGAATCAGGCCTGGGGTCCCTCTATGCGTGCAATCCCATCTATGTCCCCTTCTCAAATCTATTTCTATAATAACGGTTAAACTGGCCAAAATATAATAATAATAACAACAACAAAGACACTGGCGGCCCAAAAATAGGTTTGAAAAAAGAGAAAATCTTCTATAATTCCATTCTATTTGACTATAGCTTTGCATCATGGTCCTAACAATAAGGTGGTACATGTCACAATTATGACCAGCTTGCTGTACATGATCCGTGTGTGTGTGTGTGTGTGTGTGTGTGTGTGTGTGTGTGTGTGTGTGTGTGTGTGTGTGTGTGTGTGTGTGTGTGTGTTCACCTCTTCTTCCCAGAGTACCACTCGATGAAGAACCAGTGCAGCACTAGAGGCAACATGGCCATGAAGCCAAGGTAGAGCCAGTCGTAGAGCTCGGGGGCCTCGGTGCAGCGCTCACACACATTCTGGAGGTTAGTCCGCTCTCCACGGGGACACACCTGCAGGACACGCAGAGACGGCATGCTCAGAAACAACAGAAGCCCTGCAAGCCCCCAACAACATTCATGCATTTCACTGTGTTGTGTGCCTGTAGGTCAGGGTGTGCAAACTGTTTCCACTGAGAGCCACATATAGAGAAACATACCAAAGGCTGGGCCCCTCCCCAGAGAGGAGGTATATTGCCTCATAAATTAAGATAGAAATGAGCTAAATCAATCATATATAGGTAAATGATGCTTGATACTTGAACTGACTTTAAAGGCCATGTAATGCATCTAACACAGGTGTTTTTTAACATGTAGTTTAGATATCACCAGAATAAAAATAAATAAAAATGTTTAAAGTTTGGTCATAATTAAATGACATATACGTTAAAAACCGATGTTGGTTCCGAAGTTTGCCGAGTACGCCCCCGATCACTCCCGAACGAGCGGTGACGTCACACGTGGCAAATATTGCCATTTGATCAAATCAGTCCAAATGGCAAGCAACGCGACAACTTCAGACAGCGACAGCGACAGCGATCATTCAAGCTCAGATTCGGTGGGTTATCTGGATTCAGTTACAGAAGTAGAGAGTGAACCAGCTAGCCTTTCACTTCAAGGCATCTTGCCTTATCAGTACGAGCCTCCTGCCCGGCAATCGAACAACGAGGCAGAAACTTGTGAAAGAGAAGCGGATTCCGCAGCCGGCGAGACTCGAGTCGGCAATACTGAATGGTAAATTCTGTTTTATTTAATTTGACCTGCACTAAATGTCGATCTTAATTTGTCATCTGTTCCTCACACGTCCGGCAGATATTGTTTTTTTTTTTATGTTATGTACAATATTCAGGTGTACATGTCAATGCTGTGAAAGCATGCCCACTGCAGATGAATGTGTATGCTGCAGAGAGATCTGGCAGGTGATGGAACAAATAGACAGTTTGCAACCTACTGACCAGATAGCAGAGTCCTGCATCGGGTCGGGTATCCGCGGGTACCCGACGGGTGACCCGCAAAAAAGGTGATTTGCGGGTGGTATTTTTTCAAACGCTTTTTTCCGGGTTCGCTTCTGGGTAAAACAAAGATGATGCGGGTCGGGTTGCGGGTGTTGCATAATAAATATATTTAAA